GCAGTTGAAGGGAAGCAGTGTATTTGTTGACAAGAGTTGAAACAGGAGTATCAGCATCGCATAGCAATTCTCTTGAGCTACTACTGACCACAATTAAACGGATCTCACCTGCTCTTCTTAAAGTTGACCAGATTTTAGCGAGAATATGTTCCATCGAAAAGATTGCATAAGCGGAGATTCGAGGAAACAAATAATTAATCAAGTCATTCCGCTGTATTGTCACAAGCATTGCCGATGTACTGAAATTCCTTGAATATTGCTGCATACTTGTCTGCAAGCGATCCAAATGTAAAATCGGATGAAAGCAGTGCATTTGGCAGCGCAGTATACGACAACTCATGCTGTCTTAGCACAGTTTTTCATAAAAACATATCCACGATACCTGATTTACATTAAGCCAAAAGAGATAGAATTTGATTTGAGTTGATTTTGATAAAAGCGTCTGTCATAGAATGGATTGAATGGGAGTAGAGCAGCTGCAATAAAGAATTCATCAAATGCTAGCACTGCATTGTCATGTGCACCAGCGACGGAGTGAATTCGTTTGGTTTTATCGCGGATTGTCTGCAAGGGATCTGTGATCGACAGTGAAGCACAAGTCGAGTGTCTCGTAGTGTAATGTGCAGCAAATGTCATTGTTACAGTATGCAATTTATTTGCTATTTTCAAACACTGGTAATCTTATCTCATCAAATCAGATCAGAATGGGTCATACCAGATCAGCCAAATTTATAGAGAATAATTTTGTACTGTGCAAGATTTCCATGAATTTGGGTTGAATTTGGTAAGAAGGGCGGTTCACCTTACTCATTATAAAGTTTTAATATCACATAGTGAAAAGCATCAATGGTTGACAGCAGCTTGTGTGAATATATCATGTTACAAAGAGTAAGGCAATAAATCTGCATCAAAAGGCATAAAATCCCCATTTTAAAACACGAGAATCAATGTGACGCTGACTGTTTCTTCAAATAATGAGTACAATCTAATGGACCAGTTTTCGACAAATTAATTCAGAATAGCACCTATCATATCGGGCTAGTGTGGAATCCAGCAGTTCGCTTTTCATTTGGTGGCTCGGCACTGGGAATAATTGGACGAGATTATACTAGCTAGAACGTACGGTTAACATATTCATTCACCATTTCGTCATAAGCAGCAGTGATGAACTGCATATTGTTGAATCATGTCGCTAGAACTCTAGAGTGAATAGTACACTTACGAGTGAATTTATCCATGGCATTGTATACCGCAATCCGCCTCACGAGTTTCAGTCTCGCACTGTCGATGCCTGCAGGTGATATCAAACCGATTTGGTCAGACCTCCACACATAAGATCATTTCTGCACTGTGCACATTAGATTGACATGAAGTGAAGATCTTATTCTGCTGAGATTCTCTACATTGGGATAAAATTGTAGGG